ATGACCTTCTAAACTGCATGTTGACTGAGGTGTTTGAGAATGTCAGGGTAGTAAGGTGCAAAGAAAGTGGGCTTCTTCCTGAACCAGGTTTCACCACTTAGCTTTGTGGCCTTGAGAAGGACCCATAGCCTCTCTAAGACCAAGTTTTCTCTTCTGTATGATGCAAGCCATATCTACCTTGTAGAAGGATTGCTATAAGAATTACCGATAAGGCATACAAAGTGCCTAGTCCTAAATGGGGCTGTATACATAGTTCAATGCTTTATTACTTTAATAATTTTCTTATCTGTAAAAAAAGGCAATAAGCCTCTGAGTTACTTTGAAGATTAAATGAGATAAAATGTAAGGCACCAAACACAGTTACTGTTTCCTTTCATTTCCTTTTAATGGTTCCCCATCCCTAAGACAAAATACGGCCACTGCCACTTTCCCAATTTCATCTCCTGCTACTTCTCCTTTAGCATAATGAATTTTTTTTGTATGTTTTTTTTTTTGGCCATGCTATGCGGCATGCAGGATCTTCCCCGACCAGGGATCAAACCTGTGTCCCCTGCATTTGGGAGCACAGAGTCTTAATCACTGGAGAGCCAGGGAAGTCTAGCATAATGAATTAGGTGCACAGTCAGACTATGCACTGCTTCATGCCCTTCTCTTCTTCAAAGCCATGTTTACAAGTAAAATCTTAGGTGTAAGAAAGTCTTTTCTATATATTTCAACATGCAAGTTAATTATCATATTTTCAAATTTGGAATGCAATATCCATAAAGTACAAGTGTATTTATTGGGAAGATAGGGAAGAATATTTGTAAGCATAAAATTCTGAAAAAAATCTTCAAACCATGGCTGCTGTACATGTTCATGCAAATATGATTAATGTGATGAGAGATTATAAAATCTTGCTAAATGGTATCTGAGAAATAACTTTGCCAGGGATGAAATCTTGAGTTGAAATAAAAAGGAAAAATGGTACAAGTTAGAGAAACTGGGTCAAAAAAAAAATATGATTAAAGTGATTATGTTTGTTTGTTGAGGTTGCTTATAAACACTTTCCAAAAGTATATGTCCATATACTTTAGATGTTTTCATTAATTTGATAATAAATGTGATAAGTATAACATGTCTTCTTTAAAAACAACAAGAGATAAAAATACTAGCTTAGATAGATAAATTCAATGTTAACTTTCTCTATGTTTATTCATAGACTGGAAAAGAAATATGGCGGGGTTCCCCATATGATTTTATGATTTAGAATTTACAAAGAGAAGAGAAACTAACAATCTTTCTAAGCATAAGAGGAAAAAAATTAGTTCTGTTTAAAGATGAATTCAGGTAAATGGCTTTTGTCAGGTCCCTAATGTGACAATCTCTAAAAGTATGTAAGTTCAGTGTTTATTTCTTGAGTGATTTAACTATAGTCCTGAAAAAGCATCAAGTTGGCTCTAAGACGAAAAGCTGCTCTGTGTCCACAAAGTGCTTCCTCAGCAGCTGGTGTCTATCCTTAGTATCAGGTTGAGAAAATGAGCAAGGAAATGAGTTGAAGATTCTTAGTAGACAGTCCACTGTATCCCAGCTGCAAAACTTTTCTAAAGTTGTCACATGGATGTGTTTTCTAAAATGTTACCAGGAATGCCGAATCATTTCTTTCTAAGGGGATCTTTTAAAACTTTCCTACATTCTAAATTTAAAACATTTTTAAAACAAAAAACAAAACAAAACAAAAACCTTAAATTCTAGGTTTTTTTTTTTTAATGAATGTTTATTTTTAAGTTTCAAATTATCGTAGAGAAGACTCTTCTTCAAACACTATTTTGGCTTGGGTGACAGGCACAGTGCTGATTTACACATATCCCAAACATACAATCAGCCAGGCCCTGAACATAACTGGGCATGGGTGCCCCCCAGGCCACTGAAAAGCAAGCATTATTCATGAAATCATAAAGCCTTGATTAAGTATTCTAGTGGACATGTGCTTTGTCCAGCTCCCCAAAGATAATGAAAAGGAGAACATTATGATGATCTCAGAAGTCATTCTTTTCACATCATTAGTACTTTCCTTTCAAGTGTGTTCTTTCAGAATTACAGTAGTCATGTAGGCACCGGGCAGAGCCCTAATGATATGAGGCCAAGCCAAAGAGCAATCCAGACTTAGGGAAGAAAATAACTAGAAAAAAATGAATGAATTCATCATCTTGATTCTACACATCTTCAGCAATACTGCTCACCTGCATTATTGTCAGAGCTGTATACAGCCTGGGAAGGAGGGCAGCAGCATTGCTGGGTGCTGACTCTTGAAAACAACATGACCTTAGAGACAGCCGTGTCGCGACATTGCAAATTACTAACGTCCAGCTTGGACTTAGCACAGTATTTTTCTGTTGACATTCCCATAAACTGGTCCAATTACTTTTAAATGAATCATATCTGTTGAAACAGCCTGGAAATAAACCAAAGATTTTATACTTGGTTTTACAGTATAGAGCAAGAACATCATTTCCTATATATACCTGCAAATGAACAAAACTTCCTTTTGAAAAATCAGAGCGCTAACAAAACGCGTTTTTCAAAAATGGCTTCTATATGATATCATCACTGCAATATCTTAGTTCGCACAATTATTTTGGATTTACTTTTCAAACAGGAAACATTACTGAGACTGATTTAGCTCATTTAAATAATACTCCCAACTAAAGTATACATCATGTTTAAAGGATCAAAATCACAGGTCTCACTATCAAATAATCAATATAATGATTTTTTTATTACCTTAAAATACATTTTTATATAATAGTATAAGCCAGTTCATTGGGAACATAAAATTAAATTATATTTATGCCAAATGCAACTCAAAATACATATGTAAACAAGTATCATTTGGCGAAAATAATCCTGATAAACTTTTATTAACCTCCTGCTGTACAGAACAAAATACACCTCACTGTTTTACAGAAAAAAATTATAATTGGTATTTGCATTATTCTCTATTAAGAAAACACTGTTACACCATTCTTACGAAACATTTTTTGTCATTTTTCCTATTACTGCTGATGAAAGTAATACAGGTAGTGTTTAATACTAATCACTTCCTATACTCCTCAATTTTCTTAGTCTTTCTCCGACACTAACCAATATGCACTAGTGAATGCTTGATAAAGTATATCTTCTTCCAGTATAAATTTATTCTTTCATAAAATACTTATTGTATGCTCACTATGTGCTGGGCTTTGTGTTAAAGACTTTGGATGCAATATAAATTAAGACAGATTCCTTGCCTTAAGAGCTCATGGTCTAGTGAAGGCAAAAGACAATTGCATTAAGGTTTACTATGCACGATGAATACAATGACACAGAAAAACCCTAGTAGGGTTCTTTGAATCAAGCAGGAAGGCCAGTTAACAGTTAAAGTCCATTCCATTAAATTAAGTCTACCATCTTTATCAAGGAGATGGTAGCTAACACTGCCTGGTTTGCACTTCCTTGTCTTGGTAAAGCAGTGTTGATAAGTGTAGACAACATCAAAACATCTCTGAAAATTACCATCACCTTCCTGACTTCACAAGGTTTAGCATCACTGAATTTAAACATATCAGCTTAAGACCTAATCTAAGTTGGAAAATACCATTAAGTCCAGCTGTAGTTAATAGACGTGTACATGGTAAAACAAAACAAAACAACAACAAAATGAACTAGAAATGTACAGCCTAACGCACAAAAAATCAGATTTCTAATTGGGGTTTTCACCATATGTTTATTTTCTGGCATCTAGGCATCAGAATAAAAATAAGACATACCTGAAACTATAAATGCTTACCATATTATGTACTAAATTAGAAGGCAAATTGATTAGATCTGTCATAAATCATGTTTTTTAAATGTAATAACACAAGACACCCCTTGAAAAACTGTTTAAGTACATTATAAGAATAAAAACGTGTACATAGCAAATTAGAAATAATATTTTAAATGCCAATATGCACCTAAAAATAAAGACATGCCACATAGAAAAGCGGTGTGTACATTTACATTTATGCTACCCGTAGTACCCCAGGAACTGGGTAAAAGAGACTGAGTTCCTTCAACAATATGTATATTCTTCTAAATTTTTGATATTCACTACTTATTTTCTTCTAATACATTAGCCAGTCTTTAAAAGAAGCCAAATACCAAAAGACCAAAGAGGACAAGTGTTATATATACATGGCCCATTTGTGACATTCTGGTTTTATACATACAGTCATTTCAAACAGAAGAGGCTTACGTGAAATGCACGGCTACCCACGCATCTGATATATACCATTCTTTCACACCATTTGTAGGGGAATTAAATTTTCCCTGTTCAGGGTGACCTTTTAAGACTTTGGGCATGGCCCACCCTCACTCAGAGGTGAAATCAAGGCAGCAGCAACACCCAGCAGTAGAGTTGTTTTTCTCCTGCTGCCGGATGACAAGAATAACTAAAGACAAGGAGAATGAAGATTGCTCAAGTCTTTGTCAAATGGGATTGGCAAGGAGTTCTCCTAAAAACAGTTCCCAATCTCATCAAGGAGTGGTTATGTTCAGCAGAAGGCTGAGGTACCATAGGTTCTACAACCTGAAACCGTGGGTCCTCAACACAAACCCACTCATCGACTTTGTGGATTATGGGATTGTTACTGAAACCTGGACGTGATATAACAGCAGTTTTGAGAAGTTTGATTTACGCATTCCAGCCCAGCTGAATGTCGCCTTAGAGTGCTGAGGCTTGAGGACTCTTATGAGTCTCCCTCCCGCACAGCCTGAACAGCCATCGCCTCCCAAATTCCAGCTTATACATTCATTTCCTGGGCAAATTCTCTCTTGGGGGTAAAACAATGGACTCTTTCAATCTTCTCTTATCTACAAAGAGCTCTAAGACGAAGAAACAGTCCTTTCAATAGCATCCTTTCCGACTTCTTTAAAAATGATGAGTGGGAGTTGAGGGAGGGGGACCGGGCCGAGCAAGGAAGAGGTGACAGGCAACTCACCTCTTTCAGCTGCTCCAGCTCCTGTCTGAGGCTATCATACTCAGCCTCCAGCTCGTCATACTGCTGTTTGAGGGTCAGCTTCTCTTCCAGTACCACCAGCCCGTACTCGGCCGCCTGGATCTTCTCGTGGGTCGTCTCCGTGAGCTCCTTGGTCAGCCTCTCTATCTCGGTCTTATAATGGTCCACAGTCTGCAATACCTCTTCCGCGGCCATAGCCCCGGCGGATGGAGGCAGGAGGGGGTAACGGGGTATGAGAGATGGATGCAAAGCAGGCGGGGGAAGGGAAAAGGAACTAAGGAGGGAAGGATGAAAACGGAAAAGAAACGTGTGGCTGGACGTACGAGCAGAGCAATGCCCCGGTTGCCCCTCCGGCAGCCGCGGCTACACCGCCTGTGAAACCGGCGAGAAATGCAACATGGAGAATGCAGGGAAGAGGATCAGGGGCGAGGCGGCAGCTGCTGCGGCATGTGTCCTCCGGGCCGGCCCCTGCGTGCGGTCAACAGCCGTGCGGCATGGCCAGGCTGCGGCGGCCGGAGGCTGCGAGGGGCTCCGATTCTGCTTATTCAGAGACGCACAGCCGCCATGTCTCCGGGCAGCGTCACTGCAGTCTCCTCGGGCCCCGCGCTCCGGCTCGCCGCGCCCGCCCGCTCCACCTGCTCCGTCCGGCCGCGCTGCAGCGGGTGCGGAATGATGCAGCGTCGGCCCTCTCCCTCCCTCCGCGCCTGGCCGGGGCTCCGAACGGGGGGCGGGGAGGCGGACGGAGTCGGCGCGGGGGGAGGGGCAGAGACCAGACGGAAACCTCCGGAGGCGCCTCCCGCCGGGCGGCACCGCGGGTGCGCGGGACCGATGCCTAGTCGGCCGGACGCGCGCGGGGAGGGACCCCCAGCCAGGCCTGGCCCGGCCCGCCCTGCTCGCCGCCGGCAGGAATTCCTCCCAGGGCTTTGCCCGGGTGGGCGTCGAAGCCCCGGAGAATGGCTTAGGCGCCCGGCTCTCTCACTACGACGTGAGCCCAAGCTCAGGAAGCTGCCTGGAATCGGCGCCTTGCTCAAAGAGAGGCAAACAGTAACTAACGCGCTCGGGGCCCGCGCATCCTCCTCACCCCCTGGGCTCGCGGCATCCTTCCCTGGCCTTCTGCACCCAAACGCTGTGCTTCCAAAGCCTTCCAGACGCCCCCGCGCAACGCTCCCGCTTCCGCCCCTTCCGCCTCCTTCCTCTTCCCATCTCTCCCCTCCTTTCCATACATGGCCTGGTTCACCTCACGCTCTCTCCAAATAACCTTATTACAGGACAGTCTTTGCTAAAGATTGCTTGCCCTCACCCAAGCTTTCTGTGCCCAGCTTATCACAACATCACTACTCAGAAAAAGATCTCTATAATGCATGCACCCAGAAGCCTCTGGGTACAATTATTTCTTGCCCCAGTAGTTCTATTCTATGGATTCTTCAATAAAGGAAAACTGCATGAAATTCCCTCTATACAGTATCAACAGTACCCTACAATAAATATTCTTAAAACAAGAGCTAATAGTTCTGGAGCCCACGTGCTAAGCTTTCTTCGAAGTATGGTACATGAAATTTCTCCCATCCTAACAGCAACCCTTTGAGGTAGGAACCATTATCCTCAATTTACAGGTGGTGAAAGAAAGGCACAGGAAAGTTGAGCGATTTGCCCAAAGTCAGGCAACTCTTAACTGGTGAAGCCAAAATTTAACCGTAACTCCACAGCCATAACCTGAATCATTATGTTGGCTTCACCTTCACTCATTACTAAAACAAAACCAATAACTACATATTATATGCTCGTAAAATGACCACTTTAATCAATGCAAAGAGTGAGGATGAAGAGTCACAAAAGGAGATGAAGGCAAAGTCAGAATGAAAGAGGGTAAAGAATGAAGAAGAAGAGATGAGAATAGAGAACAACCAAGAAGAAAGGAAGCAATAGGAGCAGAAAAAGAGCTATTTCTGTGTAACTCGTAGGCTGTGGGATCAATAGATCAAGGATCTGACCAGTTCCTTCCCTGTCTCCTGGTGGCACTTGTCACAGAGCTGTTTCTCAATGGCCAAGAGGTGTTCAAACACACACACACACACACACACACACACACACACACACACACACACACACATGCTCTTTCTGAGTTAGAATGCAGGACTCTCCCATTGTTGTGCCCAGGGTAAAGAAAAAAAAAAAAGCAATGGTTGATGGTGTGGAAGAGCAAATGAGTGTCCTTACAAAGCCTTGACTAATAGGTTCTCTGGATGTGATTTTCACTGTCTCTGAAAACGGACAAAAAAAGATTCCTTCCACGTGCTCACAATTACAACAGAATATTCTCTTGTGATTGATCAAAAAAAAGAGAGAGAGAAGGGAAGGGAAGGGAAGGGAAAGGGGGAAAGGAAGAAAGAAAACACTTGAAACTTTGGACCACCATGAATTCCATTCCACCTGTGCTGCCTTGCTCTCATTGCAGTTGAGACGCCCCTCCCCACCCCTGTGTGCTCCTATAGTGCCCATTCTCTGTCACAATGATGAATGACCATGAACTGCTGAAGAGAGAGGAAGCCTGTAATTGCAGTTAGCTAAAACTGTCTTCTTCCCAGGATGCCCTGGTGGTCCCTCACTCCACAAAGTATAAGCACAGCCCTTCAAAGGGGTCATAACACTTGGAGTAGATTGCTTGTGTCTCCCCTTCCTTTGGATAGAACTAAGAATGGAGTTTTCTTCTGTGACTTTTCTTTTTCTGAGTTTCTATTGCCACCCATTCCCTATGCTCCATACTGCCCCATTTTTCTGACTGATATATTTTTGTTAATATATTCAGCCTGACTTCATTCAGACATGTACACTATTTTAATACTTTAAGATTTTGTTTATTACAACTTTGATCCTTTCTATGTTCATATTAAACTTGAAAAAAAGTAAACATTTCCTTATACGTCATACTCTTCCAGTACTTCACAGTTATATTTCTCTCTTTCTTCCTATATATGTCATACATATCATATATACACACATACATATATATGTGTATATAAATCAATGACAAGTATCTAGAAAATAATTTCTTAAATCATTCCTAGAAGCAGGGTTCCTTCATATTTCTTTATCCTAGCAGCCTCCAATCATTTATGCAACATTCTAACAAATATTTAGGAAAAACTTGTATTGCTGTGGTCTAGCACCTCAAACCAACTTTTCACCAACTTTGTCAGCATGAATATTGCTTTCTCTTGCTCTCATTCATTCATTAAACCAATGTTTATAAAGTACCCACTATGTCCTAGATATAACATTAGGCGTTGTGAAATCAATGACCAATAAGATGTCAGTGCTCAAGGGTCCCTGACTCATGGAGCTTATGTTCTGGGAGGGACAGACAATAACATGAATAAAAAACAGACAGCAACAACAAAAAAGACAAATTAATACAATAATTCCAAATTGTGACATTGACAGGCAGGTTACAGCATAGTGGTTAAGAGCACAAGCTTAGTCTGCTTGGGTCAAATCCCAATTCACCACTTATTAGTTGTGTGTGCCTCAGTTGCCTCATCCTTCTTTTTTTTTTTTAATTTATTTATTTTTGGCTGCACCGGGTCTTAGTTGCAGCATGCAGCATTTTTTTTTTTTTTAGTTGCAGCATGTGGACTCTTAGTTGCAGCATGCATGTGGGAGCTAGTTCCCCAACCAGGGACCAGGGATCGAACCTGGGCCCCCTGCATTGGGAGCATGGAGTCTTACCCACTGGACCACCAGTTGCCTCATCCTTAAAGAAGGGATAATAATTTAATCTACAAATGAGATTGTTGTGAATAGAATAGTATTTAACACCTAATAAGCAGCATCTGTGTGTTTGTTTTTTAAATTTTTTAAAGAAAAATAAGGATAAAATTGAGGTAGAAAAAAGAAATAACAGGATAATCAATGGAGATCTCTCTGAAGAAGTGATTTTATACTAGTATCTAAGGAACATGGAGGAATCGGATATGCAAAATGTAGAGGAATTGCTTTTTAAGGAGCGGAAACAGCATATGTAAAAACCTAAGGCAGAGAAGAGCTTGGTAAGTGCAATGAATAAAAATCAGAGGCGAGATGGCCTAAGACTTCATTAGAGAGATAGGCAACACTGGAGACATACTCAGATACTGTGCCTACCTTGCAGGTTAGAATAGGGAATTTGGCTGTTGCACACCTGAAACTAATATAATGTTATGTGTCAATTATATCTCAATTTAAAAGAAAAAGAATCTGGTCTTTCAAAGTGCAAACAATCACAGAGTAAAAAACTTTTCAAGGGAAATGAGTTTCACAACACACAGAAACAAGGGAGACAAGACACTTCTGTGTAGCTTCTCAGCATGAACTAGAAAAATCTTTAAATAGCCCTACTAACTGAATCAGTCTTAAAGTCAGAAGAGCTGATAGGTCATGAGTTGTGATTTTGAGCCTCCCAGAAAGGACTTTTTAAATCCTCTGCCCTTCTTTCTAATCCCCCTCAATGATGTCTGAAACTTCTTTGGTAATAAATAAAGTCTATCATCTAATAATTAGAAATAAGTTTAAAAAGCAAAAAGTTAGTAAACTTAAACTTACAGTTATATTTGCTTTTTGTTTTTTCCTGATTCTGATAGAGTTACACCGAGGAAGGAACTGAATGGTTGAAAAGGAGAAGGCTAGGAAAACCGAAGACAAATATCTGATTCACATTTGTGCCTAAGGTTGGCCTGGCACTCAACTCTTCAAGACTTGAATAGAATTCTTAATTGCTTCTTTCTGCTGAAGTATTCCACTTCTCTTGGTTTTTGATGGCCCTGGAATTTATATAGAGATCCTGAATCTGTTCAGAAGATTTCCTTTGCCTAACAGCCAAAAAAACCCCAAAAAACAAAAAAGAGGAATTTGGGTTTTATTTTCAGCACAGTGGGAGGTTATTGGTTATTTAGTCAGGAATGAAATTATTTGATTTATACTTTAAGACTATCACTACTATGAGTAAAAAAGTTTGGAGGTATCGAAAGATAGATGTAGGGTCACTAGTTAGGAAGCTGTTGTGATTATCCAGGAGAAAAAAAGAATGGTGATCTGGACTGAGGTGGTGGCAGTAGGAAAAAGAAGTGGATGGATTCAAGATATATTGGGAGAGGGGAGGGAAGAAGTCTCAAGACTTGGTTGAAGATTGGACGTAGGATGGAGTGAAAAAAAAGGAATCATGAATAAACTCTAATTTTCTGACTTGGGCAGTTGGGATTATGGTTTGCCATTAGTTAGATTGGAAAGACTAGGAGGGAGTTTCAGGAGATTAAGAGTTCTATTTTGGACATATTAAGTTCAAGACAGTTTTGAGACATTTGAATAGAAATGTTAAGCAGAAAATTGGATGTAAGACCAGAATTAAGAAAGACTTCTTGGGAGGTATAAACAATTCTCCTCTGGAAATCATTAGCATTACATGGTATTTAAAGCAAAGAAAATGAATGAGATTGTTTAGGAAAAGAGTTTAAATAGAGAAGAGAAGGCATCCAGGACCTATCCCTGAGGAACCCCTAGTAAAGGCTGAATTGAAGAGGAAAAGCCTGCAGAGAAGGGACCAGTCAGTGTGGCTAGGAAGAGAACCAGGAGAGAAACATCTGAAGGGAACAAAAGAAGAGAAGGTTTGAGGGGTGAAAGAATAAGGACCAAGTCAGTGCCATTGAGAGATCAAAGTCGAGTAAGATGTGGACACAG